GCAAATGCCATGATTTTATTCTCTTTTAATGCTGAGTAATATTCCATTGTGTGTATATACCACAGTTTCTTTGTCCATTCACCTACTGAAGGGCATCTAGGTCAGTTCTGCAATTCAGCTATTGTGAACTGTGCTGCTATAGACATTGATGTGGCTGCATCACTTGGTAAGTACACATAGGAAGTCACGAATGGTGTGACTCAACTTTGTGTACAACCAAAGAAATGAAAAATTGTGCTCTATATGTATACTATAGATTGAAATGCATTCTATAATGTATAACAAATTAGAATAAATAAATAAGTTTTTAATGTGCTTATTTATTCATTTATTTACTGTAGTGCTAGGGATTGAACCCAGGGCCTTGTGCATGCAAGACAAGCACCCAACAAACTGAGCTATATCCCCAGCCCTTATTTTATGTAGTTCTGAGGATCAAACCCAGCTGGGGTTGTGGTTCAGCAGCCGAGCACCCGCCTAGCACATGTGAGGCCCTGGGTTCAATCCTCAGCACCACATAAAAATAAATAAATATATATATATTTTAATTCTAAATGGAGATCCCAATGACTAAGTCTTAGCTCAAGAGTTAAGTCTCTTCCTCCACCCTCAGGGCTCAACATCAGCCATTTTTTCCATGTCAAAATCCTAGAACACTTTTCCATTTCTGGGAAGGACAAAGGAAAAGTGCTTCTGCCCACAGCCTCCCACGTCACTTCGCTGGGAAACTATTTCTCACCCAAAGTGACCATCAGTGTGAGTGGGACTTGGGATGATTTCTGGCCATTCCAAAACCTACTTGATACCTTCCAAGAATGAAAACCTACCAGGAAAAAGCAAGCCTGTTCCTAAAGGCGGAACACAGAGGACAGAGTCTAAAATTGCTTCTGGAGATAATAGCTTCATTTTAAGAAGTACAGGGAGACAAGGACTATTTCAGGAGGACTTCATCGACTGGTTCTAAAGCGTCAGTCTTGTCATGTCACAAAACCAACCGCATGGAGTCCTAAATGGGATACACCACGCTGTCTCATTAATTTCTCTCAAACAGCCTCGGTTTCTTTTCAAATTATATTGGAAAGTAAAAACTAGTATAGGGAAAGAGATCTTCCATCAAAGAATCCCGGGGCATTCTCTGTGGGCGCCTCCAAACGCACCTGAATCAGAGTCAAAGGTACGCCTGGAAGGAGCTGGTTTTTAAGTCAGACCCCCTCTTGCCCTCCAAGAAGCTAAGACAGTCGCACAACATCGAAGTTTTAAGTAATGAGAAGGGCAAATCCTGATGAGCGGGAAAGGTGACACCCCCAACTTCCAGTGTTTCCCCAGATGAAGCCGATAAGAGTCTAAGGAGGCCTTTTCTTTGCAAAGAAACGTGTCTTCCTGAAGAGGGAACCGCGCAGCGATTAAGACATCCCCAAGCATCTGCTAACCTACTTACAGGCATCATTGCTCCCCTGGGCCTTGGGACCCCTCCACCTTCCTGAACGGAGTAGCTGAATAGGTAAATGGGTTATATCAGGCCAGGAAATCAATGTGTATACTGTGTTCTCAGCCACAGATGAGCATGTCGAAGCCATTTTATTATAGCTCTAGGAGCTGTATTGATCCAGCCGTAACTACTCGGAGGTGGCCGGCAATCCAATGGGGCTGCATCCTTCTGTCCATCCAGCTGCCTCTTCCCCCACCCCACCCCCCCGACCCCCAATAGCGCTTAGAGAGTAAGCGTTTGCAGATTGGATTAATCTAATGTTTGCTTAATCAAAACTGACTACCCTGGAACTTAAATGCTATTAATTACTAAGAGAATCCAGAACTAATCCTCTAACACTGTGAGGCCAGGGAGGAGCCCAGCAATGCAGAGAAAAGGGGCACTCACAAGGAGATTCTGTTTTGTCTTTCTCTCCAGATGTTCAGTTTGTTTCCTTTCTCCACATCCCTGGCCACCCACTTCCCCCCCCCCCCCAGCCTTCTAAAATAACACTTGCTGCTTTTGTTTTTGCTCTTTGTAGCCGTTATGCTGAGTGCATTCGAATGTGCTATCTGGGGAAAAAAAAACTGAGCCCTGGCCCCTGATGCCCTGGCAGAATGCTCTAGACAGTCTGCTCTGGTCAAATAGCACCCTGCTTTAGCCTAGTTTAATCTATAGATTTTTTTTTTTTCTAGAATGCTGAGAACTCCTGAAGAACAAGGGCTGTGACTTATCCCAAATCTGCATTGCCCCCAGCATCTCTAGCTCTGAGCCTGCCACATAGGTAGCAAAAGCAAGTGTTTGCAGGATTGAATTTGGGGAAGAGACAACAGACCCCACAGAGGGCTCCATGTTTACAAGCTCTCTGCTGTACTGACACCCCTCCAGGGACAGCGTCTCCTGGGCATCAGTTCAACTGCCACCTCCATCAAATCCGCCACCTTCCCTGTCCTTGGAAAAACAGAAGACTGTTCTTAGAACCAAGATCCAAATGCCTATCTTGCTTATGGATTAAATGCCACCGCGGGAGAGACACAAGAGGGTGTATCTGCCTCCAAATCTATTGTTTAGCCAAAGGGTCACCCAGGACTACAAAATGACATGCAGTTTGGTCAGGAGGCTACTGGGAGTCAGGAGGGATAGTGCTAAAGTCTAAAGTGTGTGCTTTGGACAATGCCTGGGGGTTTAGGAAAATGTCCATGCCTCTGAGGTTTGGCCAGGAGCACATGCCGCGTCTTTTGAACTCCTCTCCAGTGGCAGTGAGTGGTCCCACTCCCCACTGCAACTGTGTGTTGTGCACAAGAAGCCTTCAAAAGACTTCCTGCTGGGCAGCAGGTCCCTGGGGTGTACACTCATTAGGGCAGAGTCCTTCTGAACTGCTAATCAGTTCCCACCAACCACTGGGGGACCTGTAGCCATTCAGGAATCACAGCAGGCAGATCAAATGACCAAGCCAAGGAAGGTGTGTCATTAGGGAGTGGTGAGGACCACAGGCAATTAGGGAGCATGTGCTGCTCCTCGGAGGCTGCTGTCACTCAGCTCTCCACTGTCTCCCTGCCGAACACAGGCTCGGTATGAACTAATCTTACTTCTGCATGACATCGCCCTGATGTGACATGTTGGCAGTCAGTTCAATCTTCAGAACATATATGTGTCACTCAAATAAGGTCTGTAGTTTAGTCAATATTATTATCCCAGTGTCAGTTTTCTGGTTTCAATGGTATGCAGAGATGGTCGGTCATGGTAGTGTTATCACGGGGGGGGGGGGGGTGGCTGGGGAAGAAACACATGGGTGGTTTTGATGCTATGCTTGCAACTTTTTGTGAGTCTTAAATTACTTCAAAGTGAAAAGTTAAATGTTCACATGCATGCATGCGTGCGCGCGCGCACACACACACCTCCCTACACATACACACGCAGGACAGTGTGAACTATAGACCTGGCAAGCCAGAGATAGCCTCCTCTGTTGACATCCCTTGCTACATTCATCCAAATGGGCTAGTCACAGCTATGCCTCACTGTCCAAGTGGGACAAGGACCTCAAGACCTGAACCAAGACCCTTCACATACATACGGCCAAACTCACCTGTTGACCCTTTTATGGAATCTGTCCCCTGGAGGTGACACATGGCACCAATTTAGTTCACTGAACTCCTGCCTTTTCCAAATTTCTGAAATCAAATCGCCATAGAACCACACAACACCTATTAATTCCTATGCATTTTGCACCCATAACTCTCACTTGATGAATAGAGCGCCAGACTTACAATTCAGCCATGGTGTGGTAAATTACACTGGCCAGATTAACTGTATAAAGAACACGTCTCAAAACAATGATTTCACTTCAAGCTAAGGAGGAACACGTGCCCTTTCCTTCATTTCTAAATTACATTTTCAATCATAAATATTGAAAATTACATTTCTGATCACCGCTGTCACCTTGTGAGTAGTGGCACAAGAGCCCCACAGACGCATGGGTTTTTACAAAAGGAAAGCCAGGGCCATTAGAAGACCCAAACCACTTTGAGTTTTAAAGGGCTCATTCCCCCAGCCTACAGATTATAAAGATGGCACCCTTCGGAGTTTGTGGTGGCAGGGAGTGGCAGCCCCATTGGCATGTGGGTTGTTAAGCGTGAAATTATTGCTCTGGGTGCATTACACCACCTTTATGTATGAGCCGTTCCAAGTGCTTCAGGCAGGAGAGGAACAGCCACTATCCCAGAAACGTAGAGATCTGCCTGGTAGAGAGCCCTGAGACCCCCTTAGATTTTAACTTTATGCAAATGAATCCTTCAATGTCAAAGGTGGGCTACAAGCTCACCTTCCTCTCAGATGATAACAAAAGTCAGAGCTATAGGAATGGGCCTTGAAAGGAAAAAAGAATGGGATATTCTAACAGGGGCATAGCAGGAAAGCATCAATGCTGGGCCCACTGTCCTGGCTAGGAGCAAGGAAGGATGGAGGAATCTGTAGAAATGTGTGACTGGAAGGCAGAGTCAGTCTGGAGGACTTAGATGTGGCCCCAGAGCCTTCAATATGACCCACACTAGGGATAACTCCTCTCTGGACATCCACATACTCTATTCATCTCTCCATCTACCCACTCACATCAAGGATGCACTGACCTCTCTACCATGCCAAACCCAGGCAAAACCAAGCTGTGGCAAAGTTACACATGGAATATCCCATATTGTCAAGACAAAGCTCATAATATGTTATGGCAAATCTGCATGGCAGAGCCTTACAGTTTCCAATGACAAAATTGTTTTGTTGTTGTTTTCCTTAAGCAAAGAGTCTTGCGGACCCTAACACGGAAGAGTTTTATGTCATCACCCATGCCCTGTCCATACCCCCTCAGCACTCCTGATCAAGTGTATGCACCGAGGGTGTTCCTCCTGCAAGAATGCACCAGAGAGTCAGCGCCCCCCCCAACCCCCCACACACCCCCACACACCCCGGGCAGCCCTCTACCAACGGCAGATAGGAGCTGGCGGCTTAACACCAGGTAACTCAGGTAACTCCTTCAGTCAGAATGATTCAATCTGGATTTTTCTCTCTCCCTAAGTCCCCAGCCACTCCACAGAAACCTATATCAGCTTCTTTCTCTTCCCTTCCCAGACCAGATGGGACAGGGTCCAAAAGACTGCCTGGATGAGCCAGAGTTCTCCAGAGAAACAGAACAAATAGGCTGTACCTATATATAGAAAAAAAAATGTTTTCTGAAGGAACGGGTCCACTTGATTACGGAGGCTGGCAAGTCCAAACTTCACAGGGTGCACCTGCAGGCCTGGAGACCTGGCGAAGAGTCACTGTGTTGTAGTTAGCTTTTGCATCACAGTGACCAAAAGGCCCAGAAAGAGCCACAGAGAGGAGGATAAGTTTAATTTGGCTCACAGTTTATGGTTGGCTGGCTCCACAGCTCTAGGCCTGAGGTGAGGCAGTTGAAGAGCATGGCAGAGTGAAACTGCACAAGACAAGGCAACCAGGAGGCCGAGACAAAGTAAACTCTGCTTAGCAGGGACAAAATCAAACCCAAAGGCATACCCAGTGACCTACCATCAATGATTACCAATCAGTTAATCCATTTCAGTGGCTTGGCCACTAATGGGTTCAGCTCTCATGATCTAATTGTTTCACCTCAGAATATTCATGTCTGACACATGAGTTTTGAGGGCCACCTCCTATGTACCATACTGTTACAGTCAAAGGGTAGAGGCTGTCTGCTGGCAGAATTACCCCTTGCTTGGGAGAGGTCCATGCCTTGTACTTTCAAGCCTTCAACTGATTGGACAAAGCCCACCTACATTAGTGAGGGTAATCTGCTTCACTCAAAGCTCATCAATCTAAATGTTGATCTTATCCCAAAACAGGCAACAGGCAAACTCAAGGAAACATCCAGAATGATTTGGACCAAATATCTGGGGACCGTAGCCCAGGCAAGGTGACACAAATAAAATTAACTATCATTCCTCCCTCCACCACGGAGAGCAGGTTGTTTCTTGGAGTGAGATCACCACTCCAAGAAACAACCTGCTCTCCATTTCTGTAACAGCATCTGATCCTGGGGAACCTAACTTAAGGACATTGTATTTTTAGGATAGTTATGACTTGGAAAATAAATGCAAACATATAAGTTGTCATTTGTCTTTCAAAAGCCCAGTGGCCCAAGAAAGAATTTGGCTCAGAGTTTGGGAACTGCTCTATCACAGGTGCTGGTGTTTAAGGCCTGGAAAAGCCCACACCATCTCTGAGGCAGTGTAAACACAGATGTTTCCAAAGTCATCAATCATGATTTTAGAAAGACCACAGCATTCCTAAAATGACACAGATCTGGGACCCTGCTGCCAAAGAAATCCCTTTTCTTTCCTGCACACGTCCTACCCTGAAAGTTAGAACTACCCTGAGTAGATAAAGACTCTTCTCTGAAAGCCATCAGGGTACCCAAAGCAGCAACAATTCCATCTTAAAACAACACCTTTATCCAAGGGCTTAGAAGATGTTCCCAAAAGAAAACACTGTTTTTTTTTTTTTTCTGACATCCCTAAGAATACAGGGTCAGATCCTATGTGGCAAGACGGAACCAAGGGACTCATGGAAGTCACAAAGACAATTTCCATCTCGGAATGGAAATTGCCAGAAGACTCGAGTTGGGTTGCGTCTCAGGAATCCCCCGCAGTCATTTGCCGCATCACAAGACCCAACCTTCTGAAGTTGAAGATCATCGCCTCCTCCTCTTTGTATTTCATTAGCAGAGATCGGGTTAATAAAAAAGTTTAAAAGTTGACCGGCTCCCCCTGGAGATTTATTAGGCCTCCTCCGTGAGGCTGAGCTGGGAATGGCAGCCGACACTCTCCTCTCTCCAGAGCTCCCTCTGTCATCTCCCTCTGTGGTCCCTGAAGTCTGCCAATTAAAAACCTCCTGGATGACATTCCGCTGCTCGAGTTATGCACACATAAATCACTGTAATAAGAGAAGATTGTTATGTTAACCTTCGTCGTACAACCCTTTTCCTTTTGTGAGAAATATGAAAAAAACATTCATTTGTCTGGCACCAAAGAAGCCATTTCCCAGCAGATGCCTGGGAGGCCCCTGGGGTGTCGCCCCTTCCTTGCGGTGACATAGGCGGTGCCTCGTGCACCGGGAGGCATTACTCAACCCCGAAACGGCGCAGCGACCAGGCCATAAACCAGGCAGCATGACGTCAGAGACAGGATGCTCTGAAATAAATGGGGAGCTGGTTCGATCTAGAGGAACATTTTTCCATGTTTAACCAAGCAAAACTAGACACATTACTGAGCACACAGTCTCAAAGGTCAGTTCGTAGGGAGACCAGCGCTGGGGAGGGGGAGACCTGGCACTTTCAAGGCTCTGGAAGGAACCCCCCAGGTGGCTGGAGATTCACTGTCAGGACGAGGGGCTGGTGTGCAGCAACTGTGACTTGGGCTTGGATGTGAGAGATTACCTCCTCGGGCCGAGCCCCTGCGAGCAGGCAACCGCTGGGGATGAGGAGGGTCAAGGTGGCAACCTGGGTGTGGTCCCTCATCTCTCTGCAAATCTTCATGCACCGGTCACAAAATTCCCTGGAGATGTATCTGTCGTGTGCCCCAAAGCAAACAAACAAAAACAGAAAGGGAAATATCAACCACAGAATAAATATTAACAATGTGTTAATTTCTTATATCTACGTGTTAACTTTAGAATAAAGATGATGTATATTCGTTGAAAGACTTTAAAACATCTGGGTATGCAATTGGGCTGCTTCTCATTATATTCAATCACTTGGGATTAGCTAAACTAAGAGTAAAGTACCCCCAGCTGAGGGCTGGGGTGACCTGCCATTTGGAGGCAACCAGAATCCAGTTGTCATGGAATGTCCAAGTGGTGTCACCAGCCTTGATTAAAAAAAATAAAAATAAAAATCTGACATTCAGAGCTGCAACTCAAAGACACCCATCTTTGTGGGCCAAACTAAATTAATTAAAAACACAATCCTGGTGATTTCCTGTCACATCACATGGATCTAAAGGAATTAAATATTTCCCCAAAAAATGAAATAATGGGTTGGAGGAGTTGGTGGAGAGGGGACAGAACACAATTTCACTTATTTCACAGTCAAAATGAAATTTTAGTCTAGTTCCCTCCAGAGCAACCCACTTGCCCTTGGAATATCGATATGTCCTGTAAAGAATGTTCTAAAATAACAAACTGCACCTGTTCCACTGAACTCTCGGCACAGAGTCATTTTTTACATCTCATCCTCTTGTTTCCTGTTTTTATCCCCCTTCAAAAGATGAAGGCGTGAGATGCCTTTCTCTTTAACCTTGGATGACCCTCACCACCCCCACCCCCGCATGCTTGGGGCATGGAACTTTCAGTGCTAAAACCTATGATGTCCCAAGCAAAGGGATAGCTGGTCGCTTCCTCTAAGCAAACATTGAAATCTTAGTTTGAGCTGCCAAGACATGATCTCTCCACCCAGTTGCACTGTTTTGCAGGGGCAGACATGAGAGCATGTTCTGCAGGCAGTGGGAAGCAGCCCTGGCATAGGCAACCTGAGCACTGCCTTATTGTAGTCCCTTTATTCTTTAGCTAAAATATGTAGGAACCATTAAGAGTTTAGGACCAATATATCTCAATGCACTCTTCATAAGAAAAAAAATGCAAGTTTAGGATTTTGTGAGCACTATAGCACAAAGAATCAATAGTGTGTGATCTTTTAAATACCTGGAATTCAATGAGCATCTGCCCACAAATCCAGTAGGTCTCACACGTAGAAACACCATGGTGTGACCCACATCCCTCATTCACCCTCTGGGGTTTCAAAGGGAGATTTTGATAAGGCTCCATGGGGCATCACCATTAAATCACCCTTCTTTTTTTTTCTTTATACTTTAAGTTGATAACTGAATCCCTGAATTTTTCACTAATCTCTGATCCAAATTAGACTTTTCATTCTGAAAACATTTGGTCAGAGGATAGAGAAAAACAATGAGGAGAAGGAGGAGAAACCAATACTGAATGCCTGCCGTGTACCAGGCATTACACTAAATGCGTTGTACCCTATGACAAGGTCTTCTGTGGGTGCAATTTTGTTGTCACCTAGTACTTCGTCTCCCATCATTCTCCCAGCAAGTGCACCCATTCTGTCCACACAGATGAAGCCTGGGGAGGACGTGCCATAGCCTCGTTGACTCTCTTTCCTTCCAGGCAGCCATGGCTGACCACCCCAGCAGGGAGAAGCCCATGAGCCCTTTCACTGAGAAAATCCTGATGCCCATGGCCATCTTGCCGCAGCAGGGTGGGCCAGCACGCACGCGGTCTTCTCCTTGCACTTGTTTATTTAACAGTTTGGACCTTGCCTGTTCAACCTTGAAAATATCTCAACTATGTATATACTGTGTTCTGAAGTGCTTCCTCGGACACTCTTTATTAAGTCACTTTGATCTAATTCATCACACACAAAAATCTCCAACAAGTACCCAGCATCCTTTTGGTGGTGGGTTGGAGGGGGGGCATGCGGATCACGTGAAGGTAATAAAAGGAAGCATAAGACCCCGTTTCCCCGTGGCTCGAGCCGTTGGTGCCACGGGTTCAAAAATGTAATTAAAAGAAGACTGTCGATTTCACCGTTGTCAAAACGCCATGTCACCCCCTGAAGGAGAGGCGCGCTTTCGTCAATTTCCCCAACCTTGCCAAAGTTTTGGAGAGACCCTTCACTTTATAAATCAACTCACAGCTTAGAACATCCTGGCAGCCCCTTCAAGGAACCGATGGGAATGACAGGGAAAGAGAGGATAACCATCATAGCTTGACTGGATACAGGTGTTTGCGTTTACAGACGAACCACAAACGCCTGGATCTTTGACAGGCGTTGATGCTATCAGTGAATCCCAGCTATTATTGGCTCCGGTCGCCAAGGGCTGGGGGGCCCTTCCCTTAGCAACATCTCCGAGGCTGATAACATTTGGCTGAACTTTTCAGATCGTAACCTCCCTTCTGACTTTCCGCAGTCAAACCCGCCTAAACTGATCAGAAGAAGAGACACGCAGTGAGAAGACAAGTAAAATATTATTGACTGCACTGTTTCATGTCTATTAGGAAGAAAGAGCAAAGAAGGGAGGGAGAACCTTACAGCTTGACAGGCTTCAAGATAATCAGGGGAGGAATCAAGGCTGCACAGTAACCCTCAGTGAGGCTGGAAAACCACTGGCTTACAAGAGGTCATTGTGCTGTGCCAGGAACAAACAGGGCGCCGGGCACACAGGGCGAAATTGCATTTCTCCACGGGATCCCCACTCCTCCTGGCTGTTCCTGCAGCAAAGTAGGGGGTGGGAGACAAAAAGGAGGAGCCACGAACGTGGTCCAAGGAAGAGGAAGGTCTTCCTCCTCCTCACCCCAAAGGCTTTGGTTTCTGGATGCAGCAACACATCCTGGCCTCTCTGTGCACCCAGTGCCTCTTTGTGCAGGGCAGAGGTGGGACCTGTAAGGACAGGCAATGCTGCCATTGAAGAATTTGGCTTTGGCAACCAGTACTTTCGATTTGCATTTTATTTCCTTGCTCCTTGTCCTGCTGCACCAGAACCGACCTTCTTCCTTCCTCAAGGGCACATCCTGGGTGTGTGCATACAGGCTGCAGTGTGTGTTGGAGGGATGGTAACCGGGAGGGGTCCGTTGGCCCTGAATGACCCTGAGATCAATTACCAATATCTCCCAGGATTCCATAAATGAGTCATTTGGTAGAAGATATGCCTCCCAGTGTCCCAAGCCCACTGGGGGAGACAATACACCCTACACGAAGATAAAGGTCACTATCTGGGGCAGAGGTTGCAAGATAAAGGTCACTATCTGGGGCAGAGGTCAAGGTCTCAGACATTGACTCAGAAAACCAAAGAGTGAGGCCATGCTTAGCACTGGCCATTTGTCCTTGCCCAGCCCCACACCCATTTATACTCAGCTCCTGGTTTCATTGTAAGAGCACTAACAGATATTGCTCAAGGAGGTCCCAGGAAATCCACACAACCTTCGCCATCACCCTGTGGGTCTAATGCACCTCAGGACTCTCTCTTTGGAGGCAGAGCCTATTTTTTTTTTCCCTCCAACATGCTTCTGCTCTGTACTTCAGCAGCCTTGATATAGGAAACACTTCTCTAGTGGTTGTCCACAAAGCATCATCCTTTAGGGAAAAGCCTAAAGGGAAAGCCCTGATGTCCCTGGAACCATGTGGCCTTGTCAACTGGAGCTTCCTAGCCTGAAGGAAGAATGGGTGGAATGGGATTTCCACAAAACACCAGGAGAGAGGGGCCTAGAATCAGAAGATAGCAGTACTGGGAGGCACGAAGTCATCATTTCTGATTCTTTATTCCACAGATGGGGAAACTGAGGCACAGGGCAAGGAAGTTAAAAAAAAAAACACTTGGGTTTACACTGTCCAGGTAAATTCCCCTGTGGCCCTTCCTGCCTCACCACTGCCTCACATTGTGCATTGATGTATGCACCTGTCCATGCTCCAGACACCCTGAGAACAGGGTCACAGCCAGCAGAAGCACTCGCCAACTGCCTAAGACCTGGCCAGGCTCTACCAGCTGGACCTGGGTCAGAAACTCTGGGCCAAAGAATCTGCATCACAGATCTCTGTATCACACAGGGTAAACAGGATCTGCAGTTCTCCTCCTTGTACCCTGACCCCTAACCTGCTCCCATTCCCATGCTCTTACCACCCTGCACCTCCTCATTCCTAATTTCCCCCCTGCTCATCACCCTTCCAATCCTTACCAAAGAACCTTCTGTAACCCAGGTTCCATGACATCAAGCAGTGATAATGGGGAGGATAATAATTATTTATTCAGCATTGCCCTGCGTAAGGTTCCACTTGGATCATTCAAGCCCTAACACTCTGCTTTGCCGGATGGTACTAGTCACCCTGTCGTGGAAGCAACATCATTACTCCCATTTTAAGGGGAAACCCAGAAATCATACTCAAGTTCACCCAAAGAGAGTCAGGATTCGGACTACATTATTCCTCTAATTCAATCCTTGCCTATAACTGCCCCAGGATGGTGTTGCTCTATCACTCCAGGGGTAGCTGGTCTCTGAATTCTTACATCCCATGACCACCTCTCTGTCTACAGCAGCCTCTCCTCCCAATCTCTAGGCACTCCACCTTCCTGAGTCCCCTCTTGAGCCCCCTCTTCTCTGCTCCCCTATCCCACTCAGCCCAGCGTCCACATCGATGCCTCTGAACTCACTGCTGCCCCATTGGACACTCAGTTCTCTGGCCTCCTCCATCTTTTCCCAATCCTTAATATACAAATATCAACCCTGCTCACTCCTCCGTCTCCCATCCTAGATCCATGAGATGATGGTGTCTCATGGCAAAAGATAAGCAAGGAGACCTGTCCCTTTTGGGGTCCCCATCTCAGCTGTACCCTTTAGTCCCCTCCATCAGGGCTCTTTTGAGCTCCCTCATTCATTCCTCCCGGGGGCTCTTCCCTGTCCCATCTTTACACCTACAAAATCAGCACCATTCCCGGCCACACCTCCTTCCCCCTGGTCTCACCCACAGTCCTGTTGAAGACCCACCTTCCCACCCTGCTCTCTCCGGACACCCACAGTTTTCCTCTTTCCTCCACTTCAGCATCTCCATCACCACTGACTCAAAGCTCTCCCACTCGAAGACCACAGAAAAAGCATCCCGGACGTACAGCCTTGTTCCTCTCCCCTGCTTGAATCATCGTGACCATCCCCTTGCCAGACCTAATGGATTCTTCTCAGTCATCCTGCTGGACATCTCTGCTACAGTTACCACCTGTGACCATTCCCACCATCTTGAAACTGTCCACCACCTGGGCCTCTCTGGTTTTCTTCTTACCTCCCTCGGTTCCATCCATTTCTTCCTCAGTTCAGGTTCAGTTCTATCCATTTCTTCCTCATTTTCCACCTGCCCCATGATGAGGGTGGCCCTCCAGGCTTCCACTGACAACCCACCCTGTTTTCCCTCCACACACTCCTCCCTACTCACAATGTTAACTGCCACCCCAGGCGCCAGCCCAAACTCTTCCCACAGACTCCAGGCTTCCATCCAAATGGGTTGGACATCTCCAGTTGCCTTCAGCCAAAAAATGTGTCATGATAAGGACCCAGTGTCTATGATTTTCTTCATGGTGATTTGATAATGTGGTTTCAGATTACAGCCTGGCTTCCTAGGGTGAGTGACCATGAGGATAAAGTGTGCTGTAAATGCCAATGGGTGCATTTCCAGGTCAAGGTCATTACATTTCTCAGAGCAAATTAATAGGTAATTCCCCCCAGTACCTGCAGGTGATGAGAGTCTGTCTCTGCTCTGATAACCCAAGTCCTGCCAAGGATGTGACCTTGGGATTTTGAGGGAAGAAAAAAGCCATCTCCTCTCCTGTGGTACCATGGGGTTGTATCCATCTGTCCATTGCTCTAAGCTGATTTCCCTTGTGCCCATTCTCACTCTGAACCCTCGATTTAGAGAGGAGTAGAGGGTGGATGAAGGACCAAAGTCAGCCTCCAGCTTTTCTGGCCTCCGCATTTCCAGTGTACTTAGAGGCACATGTGACCCAGTCCACTTATGGTGCAGGACTTTCATTTGCATAGACTCCACAGGGAATGGGGTGACCACCAACTCCTGTTATGGAGCGCCACAGCCTTGGAGAGTGGTGATAGGTGGCCATTGAAGGGACACCTCCTTAAGCAGTTAGATGCTACTCAGATCTCACCATCAGTGCCCTTGACTTATGAACATGGAAACAACGCACAGACATTGCTACTCATGCTGGACCTCTTGGAAGCTCCATGCGGCCTGGAAACACAGAGGGCCATGGAAGGAAGTGCATTCAGAAGTACCCTCTGTCACTCACTGGCTGGGTGACTTTGGGAAAGTTTGTCTGAACCTCAGAATCATTATCTTAAAATAATATTTTATCACAATCCCACCCTGCATCTCACTGGGTTGATTCAAGCCTCTAATGTGCGTATCCTCTGGGGTGGAGAGCTGAGGGACAGATGATGTAGGCTGCAGGGATGGAGTCTTCCCAGCCCTTCCCTCAGCTGTCCTGACCGGATTCCCTGTGCTGGTCACTCATCCATTACCCCCTCTTTCTCATCCTCCAGACTTGAGCCCTTGAGTCTCCTCCTCAGAAAGGACATCCGCCACCCACTCTAGGTCGCTGTTACCTTCTCAATAATTGCTCCATTTTATTTCCTGAAGAAAATATGAATAGCAATTTATCAACAACTGGAATTTTAAATTTTATTTATTATATTTCTTACTTGTTTATTAGCTGATGGTTCAAGGTCATCTTAACCACTGAAGTAGAAGTTCACTGGCTCATAGTAAGCTCTCAATAAACATTCAATGAATTGCTAATGAAGGAATGATTGAGTCCACTTTCTCTGCCTGAGGCTAGATGTCATGGCTGTAGAACCTGATTCCTGGTTTGAGGTTCTGCTTCTTGTCACCTTCTTCCCAGTCACTAAGGAGCCAAGTTCCTTGGCTGCATGCATTTCCATTTATTTCAGGGAACCCAAGACAGCTTCAGTCCTTCTCTAGGATCTTAGCCCCTTCAGGAGAGTCAGACCTGAGTATAGTCCCCAAAGACCCCACTGTCAGTCTGTCCCCTATAGATAGTAATAAGTCCTCCATTGCAGATATGAACACTACTTGTCCCTGAAGGAAGTTTCTTCATTGCCTTCTTGAAACAGTGGACTCACCACCAAACAGAGCTGAGAGTTTTGTCTCCTAAAGCCAAGTCTAGGAGCAGAAACAGGCACTCATCCCTTCACCTACACTTTCTTTCCTCCCAAAACTGATGAGGAAATATTTATATGGTTTAGATATGAGGTGTCGCCCGCCCCCATGAAAATCCCCTGTGTTCATGAGGAATGTTCCAGAAGTGAAATGATTATGACAGTGACTAACCTTATCAGTGGATTAATCCATTTTGATGAATTAGTAATTTGAACAATTACTGAGTTGGGTGGTAACTCTAGGCAGGTGGGACATGACTGGAGGAAGTAAGTCTCTGAGGTCGTGCCCTTGGGGATTATATCTTGTCCCCCTAGCTCTTCTCTGTGTGTTTCCAGGCTGCCACAAGGTGAGCAAATGTCCTCCACCATGCCTTTCCACCACGATGTTCTGTCTCACCTTGAGTCCAGAGCAATGGAGTCAGCTGACCATGGACTTTACCTCTGAAGCTGTGAGCCCAAAATAAACTTTTCCTCCCATAAGTTGTTCTTGTCAGGTGTTTTGCTCACAGCAGTGAAGAACTGATCAACACAACAGGGATCCAACACATTCTTTGACATGTGCAACAAATGCGATTCGTGTCTGTGTCATTGCTCCCATCTTTAAACACTGCATGGAAGTTATGCCCAAACTCCTGGCTGGATAGAGCCCTAGACCATCCATTCTGTGCCCTGGTCACCTTTCCTTCTGGACTGTGAGCTCTGGGGGGTTAAGTTTGGGGCAGCTCTTTCAGCACAGAAAGAGTGTGCACATTTGGGCACAGCTTGCTTGTAGCCAGTAGACCAATGAGCCACTTTATTTGACTAAAATATATATTTATTCTGCAACTTGGCCATCTAGAGGAAGGAAGAAAGAAGAGAGATTGAGAAAGACACAAGAGATAGACAAAAATGGAAGGAAGGAGATGCACACCCAGGAATGAAGAAAAGGCATGAGCAAAAGAAAAATGGAAAGTTAGTTTAAGAGAAACACCATCCCCAGGGCTACATCCTCGTTCCCTTGGCTTACTGCCCTGTAACGGCCCTGAGATGCAGAGGGGGTAAACATGGGGACCTTCCAGATACCAGTAGGCTTCGAGAGCAAAGGACTGGATTTGAACTCTGGTGTGGTCCATGGAGAGGGCAGTGGACCCTTAGAGCCTCATCCTGCTGTCCCCACACACTTCTGAGTGATGAGAAGAGTGGATCAGCCACACTTGAGGCTTGAATCAACCAGGTGAGATGCAGGGTGGGATTCTGATAAAAGCCCCATAGATAAGGATTCTGAGAGCCAGACAAACTTTCCCCAGCTACTGAGTGTCAGAGGGGGCGTCTGAATGGAGGCTTCCTTGTTACTGTTCCTCCCACCACACTCTGTGTTTTCAGGCCAGGATGGAGCTTCTGAGAAGTGCGATAGTGAGAAGCTGTGGCCATGCATCATCTGCATGTTCATGACATAAACCAAGGGCAGCGATGTTGAGAGCTGTGCCAAAAAGAGTCATACATAGAAGCAGAGGAAGATTAAGGGAGAGAATTCGCCAAGATCTTTCCAGAAGGGTTATTTTTTAACATGAGGGAGAGAGGGGATATGAACAGAAGGTTAAATGGCACTGTCCAATTGGTCCAAAGGGTCTAAAGTCTTAACAGCATCCTGCCATCTGCCATCTGCATTGCTCTGTGCTATAAACTATATGAAGCTTAGTTCTACTCTGAAGACCCAGAAGCACAGAAGGAGAAAAATTGTCCTTGGGTGCAATGACAGTCGTCAGAGCAATGTCACCCCAAATCTTGAAGAAACTCAGGTTTGCCTAGAAGAAACCTGGACTGTCCTAGTCCTTGTTCAGAGATTTACCAAGCTATCAGAGGAGTTACCCTTCTCAGGAAGCCAGAACAAAGCTCTCCTGATCCTTTGGTCACTCCACCCTGGCCTCTAGACAAGCCAGTGACTCCAAGTCCCAGGGAGAAGCCCCATGCCTCACACCTGATAGGTGGGCACAGAAGTTCTCCGATTTCCTCCACTTCACATCCCTCAGAAATCTAAGGAAGGATGAGTGTGAGACTTCAAGGTCCACTGCCATCTAGGTGGACCACACCAAAGTTCAAATCCAGACATTTGCTCCAAAAGCTCAGCAGTGTCTGAAAGGTCCCCATGTTTGTCCCCTCTGTACCAAGAGCCTGCGTGTTTTTAAAGGGGTTTTCATAAACACAGACTCCTTCAACAGCAAGTTTGAATTTATAAACAGTTACTCTTATTCAGAAAAGCAGCAAGGAGCAGTTTTATATAAAAGTTACATCTCCATTTAAGAAAGAATATATAATTCCACATTCCACTGTCCCTCGAACTTTATTCCCGTTTATGTAGATCTTAATACAGTTATATAGTCGCGGGGCTAACGTCCCCTCCGGATGGTAATGAGGTCCTCTCGAACCCTTTAGCTGCTATAAAGTATGCAGAAGTTAAATGCACAGATGGAAAAAAATTTGTCTCAATTTTATACTTCTGCAAAATGGTAATTTTGTACTTAAAATGTACAAGATGGATGTTCAGAAATATAGGCTGATAGCCTAAATTATATTTGGTCATAATTTATGTAGTACAGTCCCAAAGAGATACAAAAAGGCAGAGCATAATTTATCTGCTGGAATCAGTGATAGCTTTGCTAAAACTCCCATTTATTCCATCCCCCATAGTTTTAAGCAGCCTCTGTCCTCAGGGCTCACTCTATTTAAGTTCGCCATACTGCTGTTTGATCACATATTGTAGTCTATAATTTGCCTATCATCTGAAGCAAATTTAGGTCCCAGAAGTTATGATCTCTACATAGCAACCACTTTATTTGGTAAATGCAAAATATTTATAGCAATATAAAAACCAGATGAAAATAAAATTTCTATAATCATTGGAACATACACACTTTATCATTGGGGCTCATAAGACTATTAGTGTAGGACTAGCATGTTGCCTAACACAATTACCTTTGGACACTCGCTTGAATTTGCTGATGCTTAGGAACCAGAGAAACTTTTTCTCCAGCATCCCTTCCATCTTGTCAATAGGAGGAAACATCCAGGCACAGGCTCCAGATGAGTTGCCCTAAGGAAAATCAGGTGGAAGACAATGGCCAGGTGAGCCACCCTTGTGCCTCAGATGTGGGAAGGAGTTTCCAAGGTGAAAGAAACCACTTGGTGAGGACACTTCCCTGGACCGTTTTACTCCTTAGCTCCCAAAGAGGTGGAGCAGACCAAGGAACACCCACCATCATGCCACC